CAAGCACGGTGACCCCATGTTTTTATTGCATTTTTTTAATGTTTATATCATGAATGTTAATTATACCAAGTTTCAAAAAAAGTTTGATAGTAGAACAATTTCAAGGGAATTACCTTAAGCTGCAGTGCAGTTTTCCTTCTCTTTGAAATATGGAAGAAACCAGCGAAGAACTGCCCAATTCTTCTATCGGCACTGACCTTTTAGGTCCTTATCCAACAAGCAAGAAAAATAAAGCCGAGAAAAACTCACAAGTTACACGTTTCGCAAATTTGTCGGAAGATGAGCTGCAGCAAATTTTGGCCGAAAGACATTCACTGGGAACAAAAAAGGTGACCGATTGGTTATTAACAAAATTAAAAGGTAAAATTTCCGCTTTTATTGTTGTTTTTAAATTTATTCAACCTGGGGAATAAAGTACACAGTTGTTAATTGGGAATTGACCAAAACCAAAACAATGACAATTGTAGTCTATCACAATAAAAGGCTTCTTCGCGCAGATCCTTGTTGTCGCTCTTGTTTTTATGAGAGAATTTGCTCATGCTTTTACCTGTGCGTATATCGAGACATGGATGCACTCGAGACAATAACGTAACGTCAGAAGAGCGGTGTTATTAGCGGAAGATATAATCCTATGATCAACAATCATTGTCAATATGTGTTTTGGCGTTGGACTTCACAAAATATTCATTTAATTTGGGTTTCCTCATTTCTTGTTTACACCAGATGGAAATTTTGAGGAAATGTTTTACCTTAATTTTTTATATGGAAGAGACTTTTATTATTCTATTTGGTAGTCAGCATTTGTCATGTGCTGCTTCCGTTTAAATACTACCCTGAATCAGGTGTAGTCTCCATAACCATCGAAGGCCATCTTAGATTTAAAATTTGAAATACGTCTTCGGGTCAGTGAAAATAACGAAATTTTTACATTTTGGATTTATTTGGCAAGGAAATTGGGGATTTAAGATCCAGGGCTGGAAATATTACAAATGATACAATTACAACAACTTCCGCTAGCTTGCCAATGAACTAATTATAGTAATAGGGGTATTCTGCTCGAATCTCCAACTTAACAAGTACACTGCAGATCGTGAAGAGGTGTCTAGGTCAGTTTTATTATGATCCACGTGGGCACCGTTGCTTGACGCTTTTCGTCGCACGGTGCAACCGTGCCTGTACATGCGTCTTTTTCATTTCTAGTTTTCTCAGCAATCATGTCACATGAGATAAGCGTCATTTCATTTATCGAGCTCCAGTGACTATCACACGGTTTTTTTAAAACTTGAACCTCTCCGCTCTGTGCTCATTTTTGCTAGCATTTCAAACTGAACGAACAAGGCAGCCACAGGGCTCTATGCCAAAATACACTGAACCTGATTCAGTTGTGGATGGTAAGTGATGTAAGCCTCATTCGTTTAATGTAATTTGATCCAAGCAGGAGTCTCATATGGCGTAGGTAAGTCTCTTTATGATTTTCATACCATGAGCTTATCTTTTTTGTGGAAATAAAAATGTCGCTGACGATATTTGAAATATGGTTTAGTTTCTCGGCCGGATTTTCTTGTTATGTGGTCTACTTCCTGATACCGCAATCATTCCTCAATCATACAAAAGCTACGTTCAAGAAAACGATTCATTCGCCGCTCTAACTATGGAGATTTGAAATATTTCGCCTTGGTTAAGCTGAGCTGGTGCTTATGTTCCAAGTTTATTCCAACGCTTACTGAACCATACGAGTATTAGCGGCGAAGGGCCAAACTGGCGCAATATCTTGTTTAAATTTAATGTCTCTTGTAAGATAGATTATATTGCTAAAGATTCTATGTCAATTTGCATCTGAACGAGAGAATGTTCCTGCAGAATTTTTTTTTTACTGAATTAGCTTTCGTTCTCGCCGGGTTTTCTCTTTTGTGCCTGAACAAAAAGCAAAAAAACTTTCCGTACGTTTTTTGTCTTCCAAAAAGCTGAAGATAAATAATTGGGTGGTCCTGGCTGTTCAGCGTCAAATTACCTCGCAGAAGCTGGTTTTGAAGATGATGTTTCACAAAAGCATCTCCTATACTTATTGTATAGCGCCACGCAAAAAAAAATTATTCTGGCTGCTTCTTTCGATATGAATGCGACATGATCTTGACAAAAACTGAAAAAAAGGCTGTCTTCCTAAACTTGAATCATTAGAAATTGATTAGTTCAGGAAATGTAAAGCTGCGAAGCGCCGCGTCAAAGCGCTATTCCTATCCCCTGTCAATGCACCGTCCATCGAACATTAATTGAACTATTTTATTAACAGTCAGGCTGATGGAGACTCTGGGGGAAATGTAGAAACTGCACATTTAAACATAAAGGCCAAAGTTAACTACAGATTCTTGCAGTCAAATTAAAGAAACAACGATTGGAAACTATATCAATTAATTCATGAGAGAGAGCTTTCCGTTTGTGTTCTATTAAACAAGTATTTACTCAGGCACAACAAGTACAAGAATTGAGATTTGTTTTGATTTTGTAGGGAACGTTGAAATGTTGGTTTCATTGAGGTAAAATATTGGAAAAGTTGTCGTTTTTAACATTTTAATTTTGACATCAGTAAAGTGATCCGAAATGTGACTGTGCTTTCCCATGATTATGCAGGCTATGAAAACACAGTGTAAGGAAACAAATTTATAAGGCATTTGTCTCCACTTTTTGCGCATTGTTACGATCAATAATCGTAGAATTCTAAATAACAAAACCTTGCGTTCCTAGACGCCATTGACTTAAAGCTAAATTATCATTTTCTTATGAAACTAAATTGCGTGTTATTTGCACGGTGCATTATTTTTTTGTCTAACTAATAGAGCCCACTGAAGGTCTGTCATTGATTCACAGCTGCTCATGATCAAGAACAAACCGACAAATTCACAAAGAAGTACAATGACATACGTAGAACATAATTTCGCAATTTCCCCAGATTTCCTTCACTTTCCTATATTTTCCTAAATTAAAATTGCTTATTCCACCGAAGGCAACTTTCTCTCTGGTTCGTCATCTCGTGAGACCACTCGGCTAATTATTCACTAATATGAGTTTTAAAATACGGAGCACCTGCCTTAAGACTCGCGAGAAAGTACAAAATCTCCCTTTTGAGTTAATTTTGAATTTCCGCACGTAAAGAGGGTTTCCTTTTTCTTTGTTTGTTTTTTTATACTCAAGTTTATGAATTAAAATCAACGAGGAGATCTAAAGAAAAAGTGGGATTATTTATAGGAACTAACTGTAAATGACATGACTTTCAAAGCGGAAGACTTAAGCCCGCGTTATAGGTGCTTTGACAATTGATATGAGGAATGTTGGATTTGAGATCAATTAGAGGACTCCCACACTCAAACATTTATGTCTGATATTTCTGTCCAGCTGTCAAGAAGAGATGCGACCGAGACCGCATTAATATTCAAAGCAAATCATTTTGAAATGGTTAAAAAAGGGAAGGGATCAGGAATAAGCTCTTTAGTTCAGCTGGTTCCTCAGTCTCGGGCCATTGAATTCTCAAACCGTTGGACAGGCGAAGCAACTTTATCGATCTCCAAAGGTTTACCGTGTTTCTTATTTCAGATTAACCTGAAAAAACGCTTCGATCAGTGCGGTTGAAATGTTGTTTTTTCCCTTTTTTTAATCTTCCTTTAGTACTAAGAGGCTACAAGTCTGTTTGCTGAAAGCGGACTTCAGTGCATTCTATCGCAGGTACGTTCAACTGCCATGAGACGTTCAACGCTTCTTAACTCACAACAATTTGGAGGGAAACAAGTTGACTTTGTAAGGCGAATATATAGGCAGATTGATTTCCTGTTTCCAAACTAATTCTAACAACGTTACAGTCCATCAAAAATAATTATATACATGCGCCAACGGTGTCTTCAATAAGATATCATACATTGTTATCGTTTCCTTCTGATAATTTTTCTGATAATTTTCGTTATTGGTATTATGCGAACAAATGAAGGAACCGTGCAGAAAATTGAAAGTATTAAAAAAAAAAAACTATTTCTGAAAGTTATCTTTATTCATCAGGACGGAAAACGACAAATAAGAAGATGACAAATTAGAAACGCTTGCGTCATAAAGGCAAACCAACAACGAAGACCAGTATTTATATATTTTAAGGATGAGAATACTTAATACATCTATGCAGAAGTGCTTAACCATGACTTCATTACTAAGATCACACAGATCACGGCGCATGAAAGGAACGGAGTTTTAGACGAGCTCTCAGAGAATTCCAAAAAAGTACGCTATTTTAAGACTTGTGTATGTACGTGGGTTATTGAGCTCTTCCCTTAATGGCTCGTCTTAGTGCACGGGCTTTTAGCATATTAGAAGCACATTTTTTCATGGTAAACTCAAACGATGGAATTAAAATAGAAGCAAATATTGACTACGATATGGATACTGGAGAACCCTGAATGCCTGCGATCAGTGGCCGATCGATTTAACATTACAAAATCGATTTTATTTCGTGTTTATCGCAGAATTTGTGGAGGATTGCCAACAATCTTTCCGGTCAATATATGAGGTACCTACTAGTTTGAAATTGAGCACCGCTGGGCAAAATGATTAATTTCGGATCCTTCGCCTAAAGGAACGCGTTGGATCAGTGATCCAATGATCCGTCATTAGATCACGCAGATCAGTGAACCGACGAATCCTTGTCCAGAGTGGATTTGATAGATCACTGATCTGAAAATGGATTTGCTCGAAAGGAACGCCACAGATCAGAAATCCTGATCCGGATTCTCCCAAAGGAACGCACCCTAAGATTTTTTCACTAGGGTTATTTATGGGGAAAATCAAAATGTCCTGCTGTATTCCTTTTCCTGTTTCCAGTATTTCCGTTCCTGTTCACAGCTTCAGTGGCGTCCCGAAATATCATCGACTCAACCAAAGTGAACTTTGTTAAAAAAAAAAAAAAAAAAAAAAAAAAATTAATGTTTTTGTTTCCTTTGAATTTAGAATCGATTCCTCTCACCACATCCCAGGTTGGTATCGAATAAGATTTTAGGGGGGCCATGAGTGTTCCCTTTACTGATTATTTATTCAGTAATAACAGTCTTATCCTATTAAACTTTAGCAACAGAAAAAAACAGGAACTAAAGATGAAACCAGATACCGAGTGGATTGTTTTGACAGTCCTCTACGCCATCACGATGCTCGTAGCGTTTGCAGGGAATGGCTTCCTCATCTACATCGTGTGGAAGAAACCTGAAGTCAGATCACTGACAAGCTTTATGTTCGTCAACATGGCCATCGCTGATTTGCTTGTAACCCTGATTGTGATGCCCTGGTCGATTTCCACAATATATACAGACGGTTTGTGGATGATCCCGGGAGTATTTGGAAAAGTCATGTGTAAAGGTGTTGTATACACTGCCTATGTCACTATAACAGCATCCGTCCTCTGCCTGACGTTCATGGCGATCGACAGGTACTATGCCATCGTTCATCCCCTCCGCCGCCATCTTTGGTTTCGAAAGCCTAAACTAACCGTTCCATTTATTTGGATCTGCTCACTGGTCTCCATGTCCATTTTCCTTGTTATTCAAACCGTGGAGGACTACAATAATTCTTCCTATTGCATGCTATCTGTTTACATCTTGGGTGATCCAGATAGGGCTCTTCGAGGAATATACCTCCTCCTTTTCGTCGTCAACTATTTCATCCCCTTAGCCGTTATTTCTTGCCTGTATACCATCACTGCATGGAATTTATGGTTCCATGTTGCACCTGGAGTAAATAATTTGAGAGGAAATCGAGCGCAACTGGAAACCTCCAAGAGGAGAGTGGTTCGGATGCTCATTATTGTTACCTGTGCCTTTGCCCTTTGTTGGCTCCCACCACAAGTGGTCCACATGATGCAAATCATTCACGCATCTAAGGCTTACCTACATATACAGCCGATTGTCAGCTTTGTGTGTTTTTGGTTTGGACACGCTAACAGCGCCGTTAACCCATGGCTGTACATTTTTCTGAGTACCAAGATAAATACAGCATTTACCAGGATCGTCAGTAGAAAAAGCAGCCGGTTGCCTTCAAGTCTCACCATCAAAACATCAGATGCCGTCTTACCACCTGAAGATGAAGCAATCCAGAAAGAATCAAGAATATAATGTCTCTCATAACATGAAAGTTTTATTACTAATTTGGTAACTGTAAGATAAAAACTCGCTTAAAACGGATTTGCGTATTACTAATTATATAATATAATACAAACACCTATATACGGTTTCATAAAAGCTATTGTAGTAATCCGAGTAATTTCATGAGAAATTGACAATTGCAACTAAATTTCGACAAGAACCGTTCCGTGTATATGCATACCGTTTTCGCGATAATAATTTAATTTTAACCATTTCAGGTTAAAATTACCTGTTTTGAAAGGAGATTTGTAAAAGCCTTCGGTTATGACATACACAATTAAAGCAAAAGAAATGCTTATGGACCAAGAATCGTCTCATTCCGTTTAGAATGGAGCGCGCCAACCACTTGGCCACCCGATCTCCCTCAAGGTTGTAATATTTGTTCTTTCTTTTTTCTCTGAATTTGTTCTGAAATAATACAATCTTGAACAAAAAAAAAAAAAACAAACAAACAAACAAAAAAATAACTGAAAAAAAAAAGAGAAAATGAACCTAATATTCAGGGCCTTGGACATTTCAGAAGAGTATAGAGAAATAGAGTTCAATTTTCAGAACTATCCAGCAAATTTTTTTGTTGTTGTCGGTGTCAAACGAGGTATTTCACAGTCATTACCGGCGATCTAGCTAATAAGCGAACTAGCTAATTAACGCGCGCGAAAAGCGCAATTCACCTGTCCGCTATCTACTAATTTGGTTTGTTTATTCATAATTTTCTCATTGATACTAACCAATCGTTCCTCACAGTTTTCTTTAATTCTGTAGCACACGATGATAGTTTCAGCTGAAATCCAAGTGAGAGCTCTGTGTAATGGGGCGTTAATTTTGTTTTTTAGGTTTCAAGTGTCATAGGCACAAAATGGGGACAATAAGAAAAAATGAGATTTTCAAGGGGAACTCGGCAATACCTCGACAGAGTACCATAAGAAATATGCACTTTATTTTACAACGAGCAAGCAGCTGAGAACCTGAAAAAATAATCTGAGGCCTCGTTAAGAATTTGAACATCAGACCTTCCCATGGTGCCTTAAACTACGGAGCTGCGTTACAAGCCAGTCCAGCATACTGATAAGATCGGAAATCAGTATTTGCTTGAATATTCATCGGAAACTTTCGAAGAGATGGGGGAGACTCTGTGACCCTTAGTAGGTGGAGTGGGAACACTCGCCTCCTCATATGTAGTTGTGGCTTGAGTTCGACTCAGCGATTTTGGCGATACTTGTGGGTTGACTTGGTTACTGTTTTTTTTTCTTCAGTTATCCTAATTTTTCTCCCAATATTGATAACATCTATATCATTTTAGGATTATCCAGAAAAAATAAGAATTCCCGTGAAGAAAATAACCGCGATTGCTCTTGGAGAAGAGGTGGAAAAAAAACAAAACAAGGAACGTCTCAGTGAACACGACGAAACAAGTATCAAATTCCTAGAAGAGGCCATCAATTGCATACCTCTCGCAATTGAGGATGGAGCTGATTTTGAGTTCATTCTATCGAGGGCAACTTTCTCTTTTGTTCGTCACGCTGTTCGTGAGACCACGTGGCTAATTGCTCACTAAATGAGTTTTAAAATATGGAGCACCTCCCTTCAGACTCGCGAGAAAGTACAAAATCTCTTTTTTGGGGTAAATCTTGAATTTCGGCACGTAAAGAGAGTTTCCTTCTTGTTTGTTAGTTTTTTTTTTATACTCAAGTTTATGAATTAAAATCAACGAGGAGATCTAAAGCAAAATGGGATTATTTATAGAAACGGATTGTAAATGACATGTGACATGTCCTAATTCGATGGTAAATGAATAATTATCCTTATTCAACATATGGTTTAAAAAAATACTATGCTTCTATGTAACCCAACACACATTTATCATATAAGGCTCGCTTTGAAGAAAAAATAACTTATAAATGGTGTTCATAAGTTTGACATCTTGACTGAGCTCGAAGTGGTTTTTTTTTGCTCTTTAAAGCGGAAGACGTAAGCACGTGTTTATGTGCCTTGGAAATTAATATGAGGCATGTTGGATTTGAGATCCATTTGAGAACTCCCACATGCAAACATTTATGTCTGATTTTCCTTTCCGGCTGTCAAGAAGAGATGCAACCGAGACCCGCATTAATATTCATAGGAAATATTTTTGAAATGGTTAAAAACAGAAGTGATCAGGAATAACCTCTTTAGTTCATCAGGGCTCCTCAGTCTCGGGCCACTGAATTCTCAAACCGTTGGACAGGAGAAGCAACCTTATCGATCTCCAAAGGTATACCGTGTTTCTTATTTTAGATCAACCTGAAAAAACGCTTGGATCAGTGCGGTTGAAATGTAAATTTTTCCTTTTTGTTCAATCTTCCTTTAGTATTAAGAGGCTACAAGTCTATTTGCTGACAGCGGATTTCACTGCATTCTATCGCAGGTGCGTTGAATTGCCATGAGACGTTCAACGTTTCTTAACTCATAATAACTTAGAGGGAAACAAGTTGACTTTGTAAGGCGAATATATAGGTAGATTGATTTCCTGTTTGCAAACTAATACTAATAACGTTACAGTCCATCAAAAATAGTTATATACATGCGCCAACAGTGTCTTCAATAAGATATCATACATTATCTTTGGTGTTATTTTTTATTCTACCGGATATTGAACTGAGAATAAAAGGTTAGTTATAACGAATATTATGTTATTTTTATCGTTTGTTTCTGATAATTTTCGTTATTGGTATAATACGAACAAATGTAGGAACCGTCCAGAAAATTTGAAAATACTAATAAGAAAAATTATTTCTTAAAGTTATTTTTATCCATCGGGACGGAAAACAAATGAGAAGATGACAAATAAGAAACGCTTTCGACATAAAAGCAAACCAACAACAAAGACCAGTATTTATATATTTTAAGAATGGGAATACTTAATACTTCTATGCAGAAATGCTTAACCATCACTTCAATACTAAGATTTTTTCACTAGGGTTATTCAAGGAGAAAATTAAAATGCCCTGCTGCATTCCTTTTCCTGTTTCCAGTATTTCCGTTCCTGTTCACAGCTTCAGTGACGTACTGAAATATCATCGACTCAACCAAAGTGAACTTAGTTTAAAATAAAAAAAGAAATTAAAAAAAAATTTTGTTTCCTTTGAGTTCACAGTCGATTCCTCTCACCACACCCCAGGTTGGTATCGAATAAGATTTTAGGGGGCCATGGGTGTTCCATTCACTGATTGTTTATTCAGTAACAACAGTTTTATCTTATTCAACTTTAGCAACTGAAAAAACAGGAACTTAAGATGAAACCAGATACCGAGTGGATTGTTATCACAGTCCTCTACGCCATCACGATGCTCGTAGCGTTTGCAGGGAATAGTTTCCTCATCTACATCGTGTGGAAGAAACCTGAAGTCAGATCACTGACAAGCTTTATGTTCGTCAACATGGCCATCGCTGATTTGCTTGTAACCTTGGTAGTGATGCCCTGGTCGATTTCCATAATATATACAGGTTACAT